TGATTAACAAAATTATCAAGAATTTTAAACTGTATAATTTTGAGTAAAAATTAATTATGGCTCACTTGAAATTTCTTTATACTCTCCCTCATTAATAACATCAGAATTTATGTGACTGACGATTCTATAGAAATATTACTCATGTTTAGGGGTATATATATTTATTTTCTACTTACAATCTGCCAAGAACCTACTAATGTTGTGTATCTGTGTAGAATAACAAACTCTATTAATTCATACACATTTCAGAATTGCACAAAAGTCTGATACTTAATAGTGTACAATTTTCTGTTTCTTTTCTGTTTCATTATTTAATGAGGTACTGCAAAAAAAAAGTCTTGTCTATAAGCAAGTCAGCTGTTTAAGGCTATAACAGTTTCATTTACCAATGAAAGCCTAACACGTCTGATGTAACCTTGTAACAATGTTGTAATGATTTCATATTTAAAATATTATATCAAGTTTAATAGGAACTTTAATAAGCAAAACATTTACCCCAATACAAATCTACACACACAGTGTGTGCAGATAAACTGTATAAAGATGAAAGCTATCTTTCTTTATATGTCACATGCAGGTCTTGTTTATGTGACCATCTTGTTGAACTTTCATGGGTGTAGCTTCCCTGTTAGGCCTAGACATTTCAATTTAGCAGTCTTATAAGAAGTGTTATTATTATCCATATTTGAAAGACAAGGAAATGAAGGCTCAAAATTAACAACCCAACTGGTAACTACAGAGTGATAATGCAAGCCAGGCAGCCGAACTCCAGAGCATGCAATTCTCAGCACACTACACTCCCTCTGTGCTCTGTCACACATCATGCTTACCTTGAATGTAAGTAACTCTGATGGGTAGAGCTATCTTCACTCCTCCTAGCCATCATTTCTTCAATTGATCTTTTTAAATTGATTTCCTTTTAAAGATAATCTAAATACTACAATTATTTATCTTAACAGGTTCGCTTTCTCTAGTCACTAAAGTTGATAACTTACTATATATATATATATCTTGGATTTGGAAGCATGGGTACTTTATTAAGATACATTTTATGATTTACAAAAATGGAAAAAGTTTTCTCATAATAACGAACTCCTCAGTGTATACTTACTTTTCTCGATCCTAAAATCCAGGAATGGTGGATTATGTCTTTGATCCCAAAATACTCAAGATGCTTAGACACAGGGCAACCAAGAGTACAAGGTCAGCTGGACCACAGAGTGAATTCCAGCTCAGTAGGGCTACAATGTGAGTGAATCTTCTACTGTGACTCTCTTTACCTTGACTGATAGGAAATCATATATAAAAATGCACTGTTATTAAAAATAGAAATATGACTTTCAGAAAAGGGAAACTAAAAGTAGAATTCTATTATCTAGAAAGCACAGTTAATGAAGCCAAGAGATTCTATTTCCCTAGTGCAGAATTATTTGTTGTTAAAAATATGAAAAATTAGTGAGTTCCAGGAGAGGCGCAAAAGCTACACAGAGAAACCCTGTCTGGAAAAACCAAAAAAAAAAAAAAAAAAAAAAAAAAAATGAAAACTGCAGAAAGATACATTCAATAGTTCACTAAAAACAGAGATTGAAATCATTTCAGTGACAACCCCAAATCATTTAGGGTAAAGCAAAAATATATCAAGAACATTTAGTATTACAAGTTTTCTAGAAAGAGAGAGAGAGAAAGGGAGAAATGAAAAAACTACCAGAAATAAATATTTCAGAAATCACAATGCTATATAAAGTATCTTCATAAGAAGATATTATGACATTATTACATATAACATTAACCAAAACTGTTTTATGAAATATCAAAATAATTATAACAACAGGTGTGTGTGTGTGTGTGTGTGTGTGTGTGTGTGTGTGTGTGTTCAGAGAACAGCTTTTGGGAGTCCATTCTCTCCTCCCACCATGTTGGTCTGGGGAATTAACTCAGATCATTAGGCTTGGTGGCAACACATTTACCCATTAAACCATCTGGCTGGCTTCTCAAAATATATATATTTTTTAATATTTAGTATTCCTCTTAGTGAAACATAAATTTCCTTTCCCTGATTATAAAATAATTCCTCATTATACAAAAGAACAACAGAAGACTAGCAAAGAACAAAACATCCTAATATCTTAATATCCATAACCATTTATGCTATTTAAAATAAAGTTGTTAATATTCACTATTATGAAGCAAAACTAGCATTAGATAAAACATTCATTTTGGAATATATTGAAAGGAATCAATTTTTCCATTATAGTTATTTCATTTTCCTCAGTAGTTACTTATTTTTCTTAATCCTAAAATAAAGTTTTTTTTGAAAGGTTTTTTTTTTTTTTTTTTAAATGGGTATTGCTGTTCTGCCTGAATTACATGCACGTAATGCCCAAGGAGTCCAGAAGAGGGCGATGGATCACTGGAACTGGAGTTTGTAAGGATTTACTACCAACCACTCTGGTTTATGCTGTCCTGTGGATTTGAATCCAGGACTCTGCACATGGTAAGCAAGCATTCTACCAACTGAACTACATCCCTAGCTCTAAAATAGCTTTACCCAGAGAAGAAAAGCACTCACAGGAAACTACACAGAACTGCACAGCAATAACCCAGCAGTATACGCCACTATGCCCAGTGACAGGCCTATCTGAGAATAGGTGATACTTTGCTCAGAATGTCAACTGTCAGATTCTTCATATTTTGCTTTTTTTTTTAATCTGCTTATTATATGTTGCATCTTTCTCATACCTAATGATTAGGGAATGGGGAGGATCTGAGAAAATTCCTTTAAGCCAACAATCTCACTTTTTTTAAACTTTATGATATCTGAAGATTAAACCAGCTTGCTAATAATTGGAAAATATATGTCACAAATATTTCAAACTCCATTTTAATAAATGACAGAATTCATACTGCAAAGAAAAAATAATAAAACCTTATTTACTACTGTAACCCTGTTGAGAAAAGAATGTTTTAAACATTATTTAATATACAGAAATAAGAATGTATCTCTGACTCATACCTGACTGTCCTAACAACTGCTTTTGGGATATCTTTAACCACAAATAACTATTCCTGGGAAATATGTCTTCAGAGGTTGTGGACTTTTCTGTAATTAAAAACATCTAAGTCTAATCCAAAATCTGGGTTTTAAATACCTTTAAGCAGGAAAAGGTGTTATCTTTTAAGCCTAATTCTGAATATATTGATTCTGCTTCAGTTGTCATTGGTTAGCTTTAAGTTGTGGTGGTAATAAATATGGGAGCATAAGTTAAGCCAACAGCAGCTCAAACATTCTAAATACTTCCTATTTAAAGAAGCCATGCTGAGGACACAGTCTACATGAGCTATTTAGTCCTCACACTTTGTAACAGAAGGAACCAGTCTCTGATTTTGTCAATGAGAAAACTGAGGTTTTGAAACATTCAGTATCTATCCAAGACCATAGGACTAAGATTTCAACCCAGGTTTCATATGTTAGTGAGGTTCAAAGTCCTTCAACACCACACAACTGTAGAAACAACTATTCACATAATAAAATCCCTGAGTAATAGAATACAGCATAATTTCTGACTCTCACTTATAACCAAACCAGGTAAGGACTGCAAAATACAATGGCATGATGGGAAACATATATTGTGCTACCCATTCTTAAAATACTAAAAGAAGAGTATTGAATTATCATCTTGTTATGCAAATACATATTGAAATATACCAAAAAGAAGTAAACTGCAGAATCCATAATGTTCCTTACTCAGTCTCTTTCACTCTGTGACAAACTTTTTTAATATAATATTTTTATAATACTTGAGGAATTTTATACAATATATTTTAATCATATTCATACTCCCCTTCCTTCCCAACTCCTCCCAGACCCTTATATCCAAAGATAACTGCAACTCTCACATCTCATCAAAAAGGTTTCTTTTTGCAACAGATGGACACTGTAGAGTCACAATCAGTCAAAATACAGAGACCAACTGACTGTGATGGGTCTCCAACTGGGCCATGTGCAACACGATCCCTACAAGGAAGACTGGGGAGACACCTCAGAAGAAGGAGCAAACTATCTTAAGAGCCAGAGGAGCAAGATGTCTGCAGGAAGATAGCAACCTCTTTAGTAAAAGAAAAAGTCTTTTCACCTTTCTCCTTCAGAAGAATCTCTTTTTTCAAGAAAAGTTAAAAGAGCTTTGAAAGTGCTATTCAAAGAAAATCTACCACAAATGATCAAAAATCAAGGAGCTAGCATGCCCCAGAGTTTCAGTTTGATTACAAAATACGCTGGTATGGTTGGGCTTAGCAGGCTGAGGTTTTAAGAAAAGAAGTGTACGAGATCAAAGAAAATGATACTCCATGGGGAAAAACTGAGGCAAAAGACAGCACTGAACGATGCCCAGAAAAACACTTGAAGGGAAAAGCACAGTGAGAGGTGCAGAGGTCCGAAGGCTTGTCTAAACAGCAGTACAGAGTGTTATTCAGCCAAGCCAGGTGTAGACAACTGTGTGGTACACTGGCAGAGGACATAGGCTTTCACATCAGGCCAGAGGAGTGTGCAGAAGGCTCCATAATTGGATAAGTGATCTCGAGTGAATCACTTTTCCTCAGCTCTAAACTGGAAATAACTGTAATATGAACAAGGGCTATAGAGAAGATTAAATATTACAATACACGTAAAATTTAACATTGAACCTAGCATAAAACTGTTTAACATTATGACGAAACTTCAGGAGAGGGAATACCTCCAGGATTTCTGTCCAGTCCTCTTAATTCCTAGAAACATTGATTTTTTTCTTATGTATGTATGTCTGTATGGGAGTGTGGGTGCCTACAGAGGCCTGAAGAGGGTATTAGATCCACCAGAGCTGGAGTTACGGATGGTTGTAAGCTGCCCCACTGAGTGCTGAGAATGGAACTCAAGTCTCTATAAGAGTGGTAAGTGCTCTCAACCACTGAGCCATCTTTCCAACCCCTCTAAATTATGCTAAACAAATCAAAAATGAATTCCTGAATAATATGTTTAATATTGGAGAATTTATTTATCATATTTAAAGAGTTAGCAATATTGTTTAAAAAGGTATACTTCAATTTATCTAAGATACTACTGGCAAACAAGAAACAGGAATCCACACAAACCCCAGCTATGGAAGTATAGAACAACCTGATTCCAATCCCCCAACAAGTAACTCTTGTTCCTGGTGTTTTAGTAAACTGATACAAAGTCTTGATTTGATATATAGAATACTCTTTTATTCTTTATTTTAAACCTTTCTTACATATTTAAAAATATACAGGGGTTCAGAACAACCTCAATAAAGTGATAACATTTCTTTAACAGACTTCTGAAGTCAAAACACCAGTGTGTAGACATGGTTGGCTTCTAAGTTAGAGTCTTAGGCACGCTTCATTAAATGCTTTTCATAAAACAAACATACAAACAAAAGTCTTAAGTGCTAAGAAGAAAAATCCTCAGCAGTGTAATAGAAATTTTCAACCTTTTTCCAGGCAAGAACTTAGGGTAAAAACGTAAGCTGCTTTGTTCATATCTGCTTTACTATGGCAGACCCTAAACTCCCAACAACTTATTATGTACTCTCAGGTAGCACACTAAAAAACTTGGTTCATCTCCACATTTGAAAACAGACCATTATAAAACAGAATCTCTGAACTGCTTTTTATAAGTATGCTGCATCAGCAGCAGCACTAAGAATGCAGCTTCCTCTAATATAAATACCTAAATAACAACTACACAAAAGTATTTTCCTTTTAAAATAAGTCCATATATATGGTTCCAATGTTGACAACTTAAACAACATTGATATATGTATTGTGCTAAGAAAACATTAGGCACAGGCCACATAATATAATTTATATTTTTTGTAAAAAATATAGAATATGCAAATACATACCATACAAATGAGTAGTGGATGTGACAGTAAGTTGCTGCAGACCTAACACACAATTTCAGTGTTTGACATTTTCTAAAGGGCATTATGAGTAGCACAAAGAGTGATACTTCATTACATGTGAGTATTCTGCAACTGCATTAGGATTATTGTGGGCTTTATAGAGAAAAAGAGGCTTTACTATAGCAAAAAGGACTTTACTTTAGGCACATGAACTAACCTCAAAGAAAGCAGATAAAAATGTTTCAAAAATCCATTAAAGCATTAAACACAACTTCCCAACTAATAGATTGCTTTGTTAGAAAGAATACCTTGTTTAACATCTTGACTCTCTTATATAGAGGAGTCTTTCATTAGCTAAGATACTTCTAGAATGTGTCCCACAGGTCTCAGATGGAGAAACAATGAAAAGGCAATAGGAGGTGTTGGGGGAAGGGAGGAGAAACCAAAAGTCCTTTTACAGAAGAAAAAAAATACTGTTCTATTCTGCTTGTAGTGGAAAATCTATGCTGTGGAGAACGTGTCAAGTGCATAAATAAAGGGGTTGTATGAACAATAATAAAATGTAACACTGTGCACCCTCCCTAAAGACAACACAATTAATATAGATTGGCATGTCTCAATGCTCTGAAGGAAAGGTCATACTTGACCTCATATATGCACTTGCATTTTTCATAAAGGGCAGTTTAGCAAATAATAAACTCCAACAAGTACAAAGATTAAAAACACAGAATAAGACTAAATAAAAGACAGAGACATAGGCAGAGAGGACATAGAAAGAGATGTCAAGGAGCACTCATGTTTTGTAAATTTGAAGTACCTCTTCGATCCTCAGTAATGAGGATCAAACACTGAACACATATTCACAAGCTGTAATTCTCTTATGAGATTATTCTCCATACATCCTTTCCTTTTACTTTTCTTCTTGCACAAAAGGAAATAAAAGAGACCTTTAATCTCACTCTTCACTTCATAGTCAACTATTCACATAAATATTTCTCTAGGGCAAATTTCCAAGTGAATCAAGAATACAGTCCAAAATCACTGTCACATTACATTTTATTTCCTGTGCAGTTCTCTTCAAATGGAACAGGAATTTGCCCGTCTCCTGGGTTTGGGATCTCGTGCTTCCTGATCTTTCACACACACACAAGATGTGCACATTGTTTCAGAAAGCCTTCGGAGGCCAAGGCGGAAAACACTGTTGGAGAGACTGTATATTACACAGTTACAAAAACTATTGCTTATGGCAAGCCAAGTGGTTAAGAAGGACAGTGTTGGATTATCCAAGACACGAGAACTTTCTAGAAGAAAGTAAATAATATACGGAAGCCATAGCATATAAAACACGCTGGTTATCCTAAATAAAACCATGGCATAGCGACGATCGGGGCTGTGTCCTGCCTCTCGAGAGGCATCTACCTCGTGGCTAGGGAATCGGGCCCTCCGGTCATTTATCTCTTTGGTGTGCTGCCGGCAAATTTTGAAAATGTGAAAGTAAGTGAAGCAGACAACCAAGGCAGCAGGAGCATAAAGTAAACAAACAATAAAGCATGTAAAATAGGCACTGGTGAGCCAAGATGTGGCACACCATTCAAAAATGTCACCGTGGTAACCAGGTTTGCCCCAGCCAAAAAAGGAAGGCAAAAAAATTAGGCAGGAGTAAATCCAAATCATAATAATGCAAATTCTCAGGCGACAAGGGGTGACCAGTTGATTGTAGGAAAGAGGCTTGGTTATTGCAAGATAGCGATCCACACTGATGCAAGCAAGACAGGCCATAGAAACACTTTTTAGAACTGAGATAATATATCCAAACACTTGGCAAGTCAATGACTCGTGGACACCTGTAGAGTAATGGAGAAGGGACAGAGTAGGAACCAAGCAGGTAACTCCAACGAAGAGGTCAGCATATGCCATTGTCTGTATGAAGTAGCTGGTAGTATAATGGTGTAACAGTGGAGCACAATGAAAGACAAAGATGACTGTTAAGTTCCCAGCGATGATTAGAAATGTCAGTAAGACAATAACAACTGTCTCAAAGATGCAGACATCCTCCACACTGTAGTGACCAAATCCAAGCGGGCAGGAATGATGCTCGGACACATTCACAATGCTACTGCTCATGTTCAGGATCCTCCATTCAGTCCACCTGGATTCATTCATGGCTTGGAATTAAGGGAATTTGTAGCTTTGGCTCCAGCAAGCAGGTGCCCCTGCCAGCATCTGTTAGACTCTGCAAGTCAGTGTCTCAGAACCTGCTTCAGTAGAAAATGCCAGTGCCTGTATTACAGCTGAGCATCTCACAGTGTGCTCAGGTCTCTTCATCAGCCTTAGTTCACTAGTGACACAGCTCGGCTTTGGGGGAGAAAGGAGGAGGGTGAGCTAGAAAGGTGAAAAAGAGGTCTCTGGTTAGCTCCCTCCCATGCTTTCAAGCAACTTTTGCAGATACAGGCACTTCTAGAGAAAATGGATTTATTAGCTAATACTATGAAAAATTAAATCTGTAAAAAAAAAAAAAAAGCAACTGTCAAGGGAAGAAATGTTTCTCTCAGGATAAAGTTTCTTAGAGATCAACTAGAAAAAAAATAAAAGAAACAGTCTTAAACTGAGGTCTCCTGCTTCAACTATGATGAACTATGATGAAAAATGCATTCATATTTTAGAATTTAAATAATTAAGATCTTAGTTTTAGATGAAAAGCCAAGAAAAAGTTCATGTGACAAAGAGTGTCCTTGGACTCAGTTCACATCTGATGCTGATGGGAAAACTTTAGGACTCATTTCTCTTTCATTTTTAAAAGGTAAGAACAATAATTCTATCTAGGCTAATTCCAAAAGAATAATTTATGTGGGTACAATGAGGTATGCTGGGGGTAAAAATCAGGCTCTAGATTGCTATATAATGCTTATGAGAATACAAGGTAATTTCCATAGGGAAGATATTACACAATGAATAGTATGACAACACCCAAAACTGAAAACTAGAATAAATGTCTGAAGTCCTAACTCTCTAGTTATTCTTTAAATGTTGATATGAAAATAGCTTTAGACCACTTCAGTTGCTGATACTGCTGACATCAATGTAATTTATATCGCTTCTATTTCAAAATAAAATCTTTGTTATTAACTTTAGTTTCTATAATAGAAAATAACTTTCATTATTTGGTATGATACCTCATTATAAAAAGCATGATAAAATATATAGCTTGAAGTAATTCCTCACATTTGCAACAATGCCCAAATGTCATAAAAATAGATGAAATTTAGACAGTAATGGAAATGTCCCTGTATACTGAGCACATTTTACTAGACACTGCTGGTATCTATTAATTAAGTCTTTCTAGTAGGCTTCATATTCTAATTTGTTACAGCTTTCCTATTCCCATTAGATGATTAACACATTAAATCACTATTTGAACTAAATATTTGAAAGTGGAAATTTACCTTGTTTATTATATTTGCAGTTATTAGCAGCCATATGTTAAGAAAATGCCTCTTCTGTTTCTGTATTCTATTTTAAGCAAAAGCTCAATTAAAGCAGGGCCATCAGGTAGGCTGGGAAATAGTCTTGTTTTAAAATATCTCAAAACATCAAGATGGGTTTAAATCCTGGACTTTGACATGCTGCGATTCTGGCAGGGCAGAATCCATCCAAAAGGCTTCCAAGGTCATTCTGGCACCGGGTTAACATTTACCAAAGTCTTTCCCCCAAGTACAAGCAATTCAGAGAGTCTCTTGTCACTCTTTGTTATCATAGCTTTTGAAGAAATAGCATGCACTAGAAATGAAAACATTTCCTTCAGGAACAATGTAGCAGCTCAGTAGAAAGCATTCTTCTCAAAGTTATTTTCTTGTGCAGCAACACATCATTCAGGGAAGTCCTTCTTTTATGTCAGCCACAGGATATTCCTTCTTGGACATGCTGAGTTTCATTTATAACAAAATAGTTCTCTTGTTACAGGAATAAGGTAATGCTTCTCATGTACATTCACTCTTATCAGCTGTGAAGCTAGGCTGCTTGATTCAGAAGTCCAATTTACTGTGATGCAGTTATCAGGATGCTGCCGGGAGATTCTTTACAGTTTCTCAATCTTGCTGCCTCCACCTGAGCCAGAGTCTGCTCCTCCTCCTCATCCCGAGCTGATGCAGAAGAACTCACCATCAGAAAGGTGACTCGGTCCTCCTGCCCCAATCAACAGCACAGCCAATGGCTACTGCAGCTGAAACTGTCACTAGGTAACAGTTGCCAGGCACATGCAGGCTTACAGACTTAGTCTGTGAGCTCCGATCAAGATTGACAAAAGAAGACAATGAAACTGACCAAGCTTTGTAGTATGTAAACGGCATTTAAAGGCTTCTGGAGGCATTCTCCTTATAGCATTTGTAGGAATTATTTCTTATGAATAGCAGTATGGAAACAAAACTGGTATATACCTTTAAACCTTGTAGAGAAAGTACCACAAGGTACTATGACACTAAAAAGTCAGCAGTAATCTAATACTCTTTGGCCAAAAAAACTTATGAATTATTAAAAATCATTTAAGTCCTCATGATCTAAATTGATATAACTACTGTTTTGTGTTTTTTTTTTACTATGAGGTAAATGGTCGTATTTTGATTAGAAATTAAAAGTCATTTACTCATCTCTCCAATATCTGCCACGCCCACATGAATGTGCTGAGCTTGGCACACTGACCTGCACAACAAAATACCAGTTAAGGACTGTGACAGTGAAAGCTGTCTGGATAAATACCTGAGTCAATATGATCTAAAAGGATATGGGGCATCCGAATAAATAGAAGCACTTAGTCCACAGTTATCCTACTATACAAATGTGTCAAGAGCTAAAGAAATTCACCTCACAGTTCTTAAGTTTATATATATATATATATATATATATATATATATATATATATATATACACACACACACACAAACATATATATAAGCACAATAAATACTTGCTCAAGAATTTGGTGTATATTAAAACATTTTTATTTAGGTTTATTTCAATCATTCATTTATTTTAAACCTTCAACAGTAAACATTTGTTTATTTTAAACCTTAAACATTAAAAAAAACCTATGATAACAAAATTTGTAATTGTTACAGGAGTAAAGCAAATCAGGAAAAGAAAGATGCAAATAAAAGGTAATAATTATTGAAAACATGTCTTATATGCCAAAATTTGAGCTAAGTGCTTTTACACTTTCTTCTTCATAAAATTCTTAAATCTCAGGCCTGAGATGGCTCAGCAGATAAAAGGCACTTGTCACCAACAACCCTAACAACCCAAGCTTGATTCACACCCATGACACTGTGGAAGGACAGAACAGATTCCTACAAGTTTTCCTCTGACATCCATATGTGTTACCTAGCATAAAAATGTCCACAGTGTGATCTCCTCCCCACTCCTTCCTTCCCTCTCTTTCCTCCTCCTTTGCCTCCCTCTCCCTTTTCTCTTTCTCTCCTTTGTAGACTAATTTCTAAATGATCTTAATAAATAAACGGAGCCAGAAATTTGGGTTAAAGACAGAGAGCAAGATCAGAGGAATAGGACAAACTACTAGTTAACCTCACCTCACCAACTCTGCAGCTCCCAAAAAGGGTGACTTCCTGTCTACCCAGGCTTATATGCCTTGCTGTTCTGCCACCTAATTTGCTCTCTGTCTAGCTACATCACTTTCTCTTTCTGGCCAGCTCTGGCACTTCCTGTCTGTACAGGCCTCCAGAACTCTATGATTGGTACTGGGATTAAAGGCGTGTGTGCTTCCCAGGATTGGGATTAAAGGTGTGTGCCACCACTGCCTGGCTCTGTTTCCAGTGTGAACTTGAACTTGGAGATTCAGACAGATCTGTGCCTCCTGAGTGATAGGATTAAGGATGTGTGCCACCACTGCCTGGTCTCTATGTCTAATCTAGTAGTTGGCTCTGTCCTCTGATCCTCATGCAAGTTTATTAGAATACACAATATATCACCATAGTTATATTACATAGCTCATCACATATACCATTCTTTCTGTTTAATTCAAAAATCATTCTTCTCATTTTAGGGGTCTGGGTGTCACTGCTACTCTTTTCATCATCATTACCAACTACTTCCCTCTCCTTTCAATTGATGAGAGCTAACCAAAAAAGCCCAAACTGTAATTTATTTAGAGAAAATATCATTTAGTATTTATATATTATTTAGTATATCTTATATATTATTTTATATGTTATCTCATTATTAAAAATCCAAACAATGTCCTAGACAGCAGAGTAAGTGCGGTAGTTTGAATGAGAATGGTCCCCATAAGCCCATATATTTGAATACTTGGTCCATAGTTGGTGGAACTGTTTGGGAAGGATTTGATGTTTCAAAAGCCCAACCCACTCCCAGTTAGCTCTCTTTGCCTTGTACTTGTAGATCAAGATGCAAACTCTCAGCTATTAATCTATTACCATGTCTGCCTACCTACTATCATGCTCCCCACCATGATGATCATGGACTCAACCTCTGAAACTATGTTCCCCACCACCACCTGTCAGCAAAGTTCTTTCTTCTATAAGTTGCCTTGGTCATAGTGTCTTATCACAGCAAGAGAAATATAACAGTAAAGGCAAGACATTAGCTATAAATGCCAAGTAGGATAAATAATGGACGATGACTGCAATGAGAGTTACAGTAACATTATAAAGCACTGAAGAAGCTAAATTAAATCTTGTCTCTTAAGATATTTGAAAAGGAAGCAAAAGAGGTGTACACTCAGACTTTAGTTCCACAACTACCCCCATTTCACTGTCTCCACCATCATGACCTTAGGAAAGCCAGCATCACTTTCTATTTAGATGACAGCAGTGGCTTCTAATCTGGTCTGTGTTGAGCATAGCTTCTCTTCAGTCTATTATGTGGTGATATATTGTGTTCTCCAATATACTGTGTCCCCCAATAAAACTTGCCCAGAGATCAGAGGAAAAAGCCAGCCATTATATAGAAGTCAGGCAATGGTGGTACACGTCTTTAATCCTATGTGTGTTAAAAGCCACACTAAGGAACAGAGCCAAGCATGGTGACACATGCCTTTAATTCCAGTACCAAACATAGAGACATGGAGGTCTGTACAGACAGACAGACAGTGACAGAACTGTGTAGGAAGAGAAAGAGAGGTAGCTGGGCTAAGATAGCCAATGAGAGGGCAGAAAAGCAAGGCATATAAGCCTGGGTAGACAGGAAGTCGTGCTCTTAGGAAGCTGTGGAGATGGTGAGGTGAGGTTAGCTAGTGGTTTTCCATATTTCCCTGATTGCTCTAAAGCTTTAAATTTCTGGCTCCGTGTTTATTTAATATGACCATTTTAAGATTCGTGCTACAGGTTAGTGCTGGAATTAAAGGTGTGTATGACTTCTTTGTTTACTTAAAATGGCTGGCCTTTTCCCCCTGATCTCCAAGCAAGCTTTATTTATTAACACACAAATAAAATACCACCATATTTCAGCACAAATAAAATATCACCACACTAATCATAGAGGTCTGGAGGTCTGTACAGACAGAAAGTGACAGAGCTGGGCAGGAAAAGGAAGTGATGTAGCTGGGCTGAGAGAGCAAATGAGGGAGCAGAACATAAAGGCATATAGGCATGGGTATACAGGAAGCAGCTCTCTTTGGAAGCTGCGGGATTGGTGAGGTGAGGTTAGCCTGTGGCTTTTCCTATTTCCCTGATCTCTCAGGTTTTAACCACTATATCTGGCTCTGTGTTTTTTATTTAATAAGACCGTTTAGCAATTTGTCTACACTATTATGCACAAAAATGAGTATATTTTCCAAAATTCAAAAAAATCATGTCACTTCCTTCCTTAAAATACTTGAGTTTTATTCTGCATTTTATAAAAGGTCCTATAAATCTGGTCTAATCTCATTTTCCTTCTGGGTTATCCATGTTAGACAAATTCTCCACCCCTCGCCACTGTAAGCCCCAGCCCCACATTAACTTGCTGTGTTCTCTTCTGCTGCAGAGTGCTCACATCAGCTGCTCAATGAGCTACCACATTCAATTCAGACACAAGCTTCCACCTTAGTCCAAGAACTTCTTCCTCTGGGAAATCTTACCTGAGTTCCCAGAGTACCAGATTCTACACTTACCACCATCTGTAATTATTTATTTTATTCATTTTATTTTCTTACTAAGCTGAAGCCTCACAGGGAAGCAAATACTTGCTTTGTTTACCATCATCTCTAAAGTGCTGATATTATACTCTGCTGGGCATTGAATAGGAGTTTAACAAACAAATGTCTAACATAATTAATTTTTATGTAAGACAACTAGTACAACAGAAACTGTAACATTAAAACAAAGTTCCTTGCAATCCCTTGTTTAACAAAGACTTCCAGGAGGAAGTAAGAAATATGACCAACAGAGAATTGCAATTTCAACAGAGAAAAGTTAATCTCTTCATATATTCAAATATTAGATAAGTATTAGCAATTTATACATCCACTTAAATCCAAGTCTATATCAATGTTTGAAAAAAAATCTTTGATTTTTAGGCCTGGGAAATAAGGAAGGTTGATGTGTCCTTT